CAGGTATAAACGTAATGCATCCTGCACAAACATAAGTTCTAGACTTTCACTAACAACCCATCAGTCAGAAGAGATCAATCAGAAGAGCAGAGCACCACATATAACAAGTTAACAACTAAGAAAATGAAGAAGCTCATGATTGGCACAACTTACAGCTCCATAATCGTTGATAACTTCTGATGGTTGAGGATAGTTCTTTAATCGTTTACTCATCTTCTTCCCATCCTCAGCCAGGACAAGACCATTGCAAATGAGGTTTCTAAAAGCAGGTTTCCCAAAAAGGGCAGTAGAAAGGACCATAAGGGTGTAGAACCTGCAATACATAAGAACCTTATAGATTCCACTATTTGAATTTTCTGTTTTCTCTGACTTAAAAAACATGAACAGAACTAAGTTCACAGCAGCAATAACATCAGGACATCAGAAACACTAAACTTGGCAATAATTCTCGCAGCATAAAAAGAGGTGAAATTTTTAAGCTAAAATTGAGAGCATAAGGACATTTGACCACTGCACTTGCCAACAAGCATGGGAAACAATATTAATATAGAATAAAAGGTTAAACGGCAAAAAATGCACCATCTGAGTGCTCTCTCTCTCTACGAATCAGAGAAACTGTCTCTCCTTTATTTCTTGATAGGTAAGAAACTCTCTTTTTTATTAAGTAAGAATAAAAGAATATATATAGCACCAAGAATCAAAAAGTATCAGACATGCATACTGATTTAACTTGAATACTAGCAAAAGTCAACTATTTAACATCTATCAAAACGTATCATATCCTCATTTCATCTAATTCATGGTGGTACCAACTAAGGACAAGAATGTTGGCAATCGAAAATCTCCAATCTGAGGGTCCAGCAGGAATAAGCTCATGGAATTTGTTGCGACAAGCATTATCTCTAGAAGAAGTCCAACTTAAACCATAATTCAACAGTCAATATCTTCCCTAGGGTTACATAGCTTTATAGGAAGTAAGATGATGGGGAAAGTTCTGGCTGGGGTCCGCATTCAGAAAATTCATGGTCAAATTGATAGAGAACATAATCAGAATATACATACCATCCACGAGTTTGATCGAGACCTTCTGCCACAAAATGACCAGGGAAATTGTTCTCGAAGAGTTCAACATTCTCAAAAGGATAGTGGATATAAGCATAAGGCATTGACCCACTCTCAAACCAGCAATCAAATACCTGGATAAATACAACAAATAGTTTTGTCACAAAGCAGAACACAAAATTGAAAAGAAACTATTGAAAGGTACAAGCTCATTCAAAAAGTTTGAAAAGAGAGGGCATTAAATGTGGAGATTCCGTTGAACCATTACGCCTGAGTGCCTAAGCAGGCAGTTCAACTTTTTTTTGATAAGGTAAATTGTATTAATCAAAAGGGAGAGAACTCCCGAATACAAGAAGTATACCAAAAAGTAGAGAATTTACATCAGAACATGATTCTCTACAAAAGACGCCNGTTACAGTGCTTGGCATCACCCATATATATATATATATATATATACTCCAGAGTAGTACAATTGATTTTCAGCTTGCAAAACATTGTAAACTATTAGAACCTAAGTAAAGAATTTCTATTTAGATAAGTGGAGCGATGCACAGTATCAGCCCTCAACAGGCACACAGCACCTCAAACAACCAGGAGAAAAAGACAAGCTCAGAACCAAAAAAAAAAAAAAAAAAAAAATAGAGAAAATCTTGTAAGTGGCAGTCTGAGCCCTGAGGCAGCAGAAACCCGTTTGTTTCAAGTATGAATCATTACTGCTCTCTTGACAACCCAATGATACATGAAAAATTCAATCTTCCTGGAAAAGATCTTTTTTTCTTGATTCTTTTCTCAATCAAAATGTGTAAAACACATAATTCTGACAATCAATGACAACTCAAAATTTCTTAAAGATTGAACAAATAACACCTTGAGAATGTAGACAATACTGAGCAGCAAAAAGCAATAACGCACGCCGAGGTAAAAATAGAGTTCAATTTCTCGATTTTTTCGCATACAGCCCTGAATCAACAATTACAATCTTATCCAATTCAAAATCAAATAATCTAGAGGTTTCACACGAGAACCAACATTTCAGCAAACAGAATCAGCATTAAATCAAAATGGGCTCAAACTGTTTTTCTAGCTCATTTTTTTCTTTCTAACTCGTTGAATGGGCAAATATGTGAAATCCTTTATTTTATGCTTTTATCCCAAAGGAAAAAAATCATTAATTCGCAAATTCATTCAGCCTCTTCAGAACAAAGAAGCAAATAACATGAAAATATATCTGCCAGAAATACTTGAGTCTGATAGATACATCAAATGTGATATTAATGCTGTGGTAGCCTACTGCTAAATAACAGATTAACTGGTCTTACATCCTCCACACGTCGAAGAACGCCGAAATCAGGCCCCCGACTGGACGGAATTGTAATGTGATCAATGTTGTGACGATGCAAGTCTGTCACCTGCAAATTGAGGAAGAGGAAAGCCGTAGAAGTTAAGAGGCGACTTCATAAAAAAATATAGTGAATTATAAGACGGTCATAAACATAGAATGCTGAAACTAAAACAAGTATTACAAAATGTCGGTAATGAAGGCAGAACCTTAGCACCAGAAAGCTTTTCCAGTTTGTCAATGGAGTCCATAACAACTATCTCCTCACCATCCTCGCTAATCCACACAGGAAGAGGAGTACCCCAGAACCTACTTCGGCTAACAGCCCAGTCTCTTGCATTTTCTAACCAATTGTGGAAGCGTTTTTCCTGTAATAGAGAACACAAAATAAAACTAAGATCAGGATGAACTATTGGGTTCTGACGATTTCTAAAATTCTAACAATCAAGAGCTGTTGATGAAAAGTCAGTTATCATTCATATTCTGCAAAGCTTCAGTGAATTAGAAAGTATATGAAACCTAACTCCCAGAACTCAAACCTGGAAAAGCACCTGAGCTTCAACAAAAATGGATGATAGCTAAAACCTGACCTATCTCCACTAAAGTAGAATGTTACTGACAAAATACCAGGCTCAGCAGTGTTGTAATCCATCATATTGGACTGCAGAATGTGGAGTTTAAAATAGTAATTTTACTCTGTATTTAAAAGCCCTCCCCAGACCCCACTTTGGGATTTTGCTGGGTAGTTGTTGCTGTTTTCTCTGTATTTAAAAGGCGGAGGTGTGGCAAGAAATGCTTTGCCTAAGTGCCACGGAGCATAAGCCCAATGAAACTTCGATGTTTTAATATTTTAAAACATAAATATTTTACAATAAAGAATATATTCAAATTTGAACAAAATTCAGAAGGAAAAAAATCTACAAAGCTAATTTAACATCTAGGCAGAATGGCATATATTCTAGGATGTACGAGGCAAACAATCCAAAATGCTAGAACAATAAAAAAAGCAACGAAATCCAAAATGCTAGAACAAAAAAACCCTATATTAGTTAGAGTGAACCCTTAAAAGAAAATTTCAAATGAAAATATTCTAGGATGTACGAGGCAAACAATCGAAGTAACGCATGCTGGGGTATTATTCCTGTTGGGGCACTAGCCCGGTCTGCCTCACACTACTGGGACAAGCCCCAACTCACCTTGTGAAACATTAATTTTTCTTATATATTAATACAATTCAAAACATGTGCATATCCCTAAAGGTCTAATCTCATACGAAGATTGTTCCATGAGAATCTTTAACCAGTAAGTATTTTGTAGTAAACTCCAATAACTCCTAAAACAAAGTAAAAACAGAGAGACCAAAATGGAGTAAATTAAAAGGTTTTTTCGAGGGTAAGGAAGCAGCTAGCATGTGGATGGAGTAAACAATGAATAAGGCCTGACAATACATAAGCGGAACCAACTCAAACCAGTGCAACAAAACCAATACACGGTACTTTTTGATTGAATTAGCCAACAAGAAAGCTAAAGGCAGAAAGGAAATAGTAACCTTCACAAAATCAGGAACCCAGTAGGTTTGTTTATTGTTCTCTAGCAATTGATCCTTAATTTTTTCCACCATAATAAACCTGGCCATACGTACACCAACAATACCATTCCAAAAAAACATTAATACAGAGATTAATAGATGCATGACAGCAAAAGAGAAAATAAACATCGTTGGTCATCAAAAAGAGAAAATAAACATTACAAAAAAACGAAAAGAACATTAAAACAGACTTGCCAAAGTTCAATATGCAATGTTAGGTGCTGATAAAATTCATGAATTTTTAATTGTCATGAATCAGAAAAGGCAACGCAGCAAATCAATCAAGATAAAAGAAGACGTTAAAAAGAATTCATAAATACAGAAAAATGAAAACAGTGCTTAATAACATATAGATGGGCCAAAGCATACTTTAGGTGCTTGAACTGTTGATGATCTTTCCGCTCTCTTTTTTCTTAAATATGGTAAATACCCCAGGCGCCAAACAGTGGTTTTTTCCAACTTGCTCCTAGGTGACTCGAACACCCAAACTGATCATTCAAGTTGGAGAGCCATTTCCGCTAGGCTATCACTCTCATGCCAATCCTTCCAACTTATCTGAATAAGTAACTATCTCTCTTCTCTCACTTGCATTGCAATAAGAATGAATGCAATACGATTACATATGTATTTTGCATTACAAACTCCTCTTTTCCATTCAAAAAGGCGAAGCTTGAAACTCAAAACTCCTCTTTTACTTCCCTTCGAAGCAACATAATTGACACCTAGTCATCAAGATCGGTTCACCTCTTTTTACAAAATTAAACACGGTTAAAACTTATGGTTTGTAAATATCAATTCATTATGGCATACTTTTTTTTTTGAAAAGGGTTCATTATGGCATACTTACAAAACTCTAAATGCATGTAATTGCTAAAATGTAACTACCAGCTTTTATTTTCATCTTGTGAACATTATGCTTGTAACCTCTAATGTTAAAGACGTAGTTTTCCTTTGAAATATTAGGTTTTTCCTTATTGGTAACCTTCCGAGTAGATGTAGGACAGTCAGTACTTCTCCAAGGACTAGATTGTATTAGCTACAACAATCAACCAATAGGAGAGGTCGAGCTGCTACCACCAACATTCGATGACAGTCAAAACTTTATATTAGAGAACTATTACTCATGAAGAATAGCAGAGCTTCTAGGATATCCTATATTACAGTTAAAAAGAAACTGAACACCTGATAAAAATCTTGGTTAATGTTCTTTATCAAAAATAAACTTGGTTGATGTTCCATAGAAGGAGATTTATGAAAAATAAACATAATACTACTATAAGAGGAAAGTACTCACCAAGTTTTGGACATGGGTTTTCATGTGGATTGTAATCTACTAAAAAAAGGATGTATTTCTATTTTATTCGGCTAACATCAAGGTTACAGTTCCGCAATACTCATTTCACACAAAACGACTACTGACAAACCAAACAGTGCAATTAAAAAAGTTAAGGAATCAACACCAGCTAGATTTTCGTGGACCAATATCCTTTAATAAACCAATCCCAGCCGCTTAACATCCGCAATGATGCATCAATCTTATGTAAGTCACACTGAGATTAGAAAGGGCAAAAAGGAGAAAAACTACATAGGGAAAGAAAACAAACAAGCTCATTCTCATTCCAAAAGGTCATAATCTCATAGGACTAATTAAATACTGCATCATAAGACAATAGAAAAATAAAGGATAGTAACAGTGTTTGATGCACGGAATGATCTGAAGTATGTTACCAGCTAGGAACTGCTCTGTAAATCAGAGGTGTGTCAGATCTCCAGCAAAAAGGGTATGAATGCATAAACTTTCCAGATTTGACAAGCCTTCCTTTCTCCTAAACCAAACAAAAGTATCTTAAGCATGGTTGTTAATCAAAACTAAATATACGACCATAAATATATAAAACCATAAACAAACAAACAATAATTCCTCACTCAAATTAAGGGCAAGCTACCTACAAAGTTTATGGTAAATCATATTCTCTTTGATGGCCGTCGTCAGCCAATTTTGTTCGTAAAAATTAAAGGCACGTACATTATAGTGCCACAAAAAAAGAGGAGTATTAGAGTCTCTTGCCTTCACTGCTTGAGTGATATCATTATCTGCCTCCTTAACATATTTTCCTCTGAAGTCTGTAATTCTATCAGTAAAGTAGCCATTATCATCTACCGCCACAATCAGGCTCTCCCCCTACAGAAAACAAAATCCAATCCAATCAAGTCAATTTCATTGGAGTATTATGATAGTAAACTCGAAAGCTAATAATTCTCAAAAGAGCTCAAAGTCACAATGTTATTAAAAACAACAAACCAAAAAAAGGCTGATTTAGTCAAACATTTGGGGGAAAGGCTTGTAGGTACAACATATGCCATATTGTTTGCAAAGAAAGGGCAAGAAAAATGCTGTAGTCCACACTGTACTTCCTTTAGCAAGAGAAACATGAAAATCTAGATACTAAGTGGTTATGAAAAGGGTTAAGAGAGACCATCTAAATGTCGAAGTAAACAAGCACAATCAGCTCCTAATATTTTAACAAGCCCCCAAGACGTTATTCCAGTACATTTCCCAGGAAGAAATGGTGGCCCCAAGTCAGATACTGCATCGAAAAGTAAAAGTAGTAAATTCGTGCAGATCCTGAAACTTGTAAGAACGTACTACACGGCCAAAAGCTAATAACATGGCATATAAGTTCCATAGCAAATATACAGATGACAGAAAATGAAACATGTACTCTATTTCAGGCAATAGGTATCATTGCAGAAATACTATGAAATTCCATAAGTTTTCGAACCTTTTTTATTATGTGATTTCCAATACAAACACGATAATCGTCCTCACCAAAGGCAGGAGCACAATGAACAATTCCAGTACCACTGTCAGAAGTCACATAATCATCCGCAACGACTCTGAATGCTGTGTCAGAAAAATCCTTGAAGTAATCAAATAGTGGAATATACCTGCATTGAATATCTACATGTCAACCTTCCTTGATAAAATACCTAATGTCAACCTTGAAAGTCAGTACTGGCATTTAAAGCTAAGTTCACCACTGAGCCGATCATTAGCATCACATGCAATAGAAAAGCAGAAAAACCTTAAATGTGGGAAGGGATTCATATCCATCCAACAAAATGGCCACATGTATTAGAAAACAAGACAATGTTGGTGCTTAAGATACAAGAGAGCACACTGGGTCAAGATAAGAGGTCAGAGGTCGAGGTAAAAGAAAATACCCAAAATTTTCACAGCTATATGGTTCAAATACCATAAAAACCAGCACTTACGCAACGCGTATAAGCCCTTCCACTACAGCTACCTTCTCTGATTGCTTGCCTCTATCTTTCTAGCTTAAATTAAGTGAACTCTGCCATGCCCGAAAAAAGTCATGCTTAGCAGACCACCTAACCACCCGATCAATCAATCAATCACCATCATCCATCCAACCACCAAAATAGAGAAAAGGCTGTTGGCGGACTGGTTGGAGGGGGGTATAAGCAGGTCATTGCCAAGCAATACCATTTTGCATATTCTAAGAAAGAGATTACCACTATAGTACTCATCACCTTCCCCATTTCTACCACACAAAAAAGCGGCAGCAAAAGGGAACAACGAACAGTAACTGATGGAAAGGATCCTAAAAATAAGATAGCACAGACACACACGCATCCTAACATGACCAACACTACCTCATTTGACAATTGAGTTGAACTCTTAATTGAAAGTAATGGCATATTCCTTTCTTCACGTGAAAAAAGAAATAAAAAAAGAAAAAGAAGTGCTTCATTTGACGATATCCCTTGTCTTTGACAATCTGCTTTTGATTTTTCTTTTCTTTTCATATTTCAGAGTAAGGTTATTTTCCTAATTAGGCAAATCCAATATTACAAGCAAAAAACAAAAGAAAACACTTGGTATCATACGCATAGAAGACTCTCCTATAAGAGGAGGTAGAGAGGTGTGAAGTCATACCTGCTAGGCAGCTAATTTTTACGAAAATGATAAGAAGCAAATACATCCATACAGTCAACAATCTATCAAAATTATACGTGTTGGCAAGGTCAAGATCATAGGAAGAGGCAGAACAAGGGAGAGATCTTATTTGAACGAAGACGATTCCAAAATAAAGGCATCAAAAATTGACCTTTCAAGGGGCTCGAATAATTGGAGTCATAGCTGGTAAAGTCATTAAACATGTTCAACGAAAACAAACCAAAAAACCTAAAACAATTACCAATAATCGGCTTTTATTTACAATGTGTAGCATATGAGTCAGGTCAAATATGAATCAGTATACAAGACAGAAGACATGTAAATCAAATTAACCTCAAATCAGAATGTAAAGATGGAAGGATCACTTTTTATCAACTTTCATTCAAGTCACTAGCTGCCATATTGCAGGCGCCAAGAACAGAAAACTTTGTGCAGCATATCAATGACAAAGTTCAAGAATGCTCACTTCTTCCCCACAAGGGACGACCCAGAGAATTTATCCACCACCTCATAAGTTTCGACATTCTGTGATTTACCACCAGAAGGCTTTGACTTAGAATTTGGATTTTGAGTGTCAGCAGCAGGTCCATTTGGGGTGACCTTTTTCGCCTTCTCAACTGGTAGCTCGGCCAATCGAGATTCTGCCACCACATAAATCTTCCCATTGAATTTGTTGCGAACCTGATCGTTATTATCAAATCAACATTAACAAGCTTAGATGAAAGCAAATATTTCCAGATCTACAAACCTATTACATACCAATAAGAAACAAATATAATGTGTCCTTTACTTAAACTGAATAAATACCATTTTCGCAAGACTTGTACACTCCAATTAAATGAATGTAAACAAATGTACAATTTGATTAAATATAATGAACTAGCAGTACAATTGATACATCTCAGAGCAAGAAATTAACAAGAACTGAAGACCTTTGACTTTATAACAACAATACTAACCGTGTTTGAAGCACTATAATAAGTTAAAAGTAAAAACAAGCCCTTCAGACTCCAAAAGTACAGTAATCCAATTAAAGCAACAATTCACTTAGATTTCAAACCAGAAGCTTTACTAAGGACTAACCTTGACATATACAAAATTGGCGTTGACACAAAGAGCAAGATTACTAGGAAGGGTCCAAGGAGTTGTTGTCCATGCCACAAAGGACGCACCCTCGGGATCATCAACTATCGGGAAGGAAACCATGATTTCAGGGTCACTTACTTCCTGCATCACACCCGAAAAAATCACATAAATAAGACATCACCAGAACAAGAGAAAAGGATTGCACTTAGTGCACTGCTAAATGATTTCCATTACATACCTTATAATTAGAATTAGCTTCAAAATTGGATAATGGAGTCTTCAAACCAGTACTATAAGGCATAACCTGCAAAAAGAAAAATCAGGAAAAGAGTCAAGTTTCTTTCAAACCCAACCACATCGACATGAGCCAATCTGCTCCATTCTTAGGACAGGTTTACCCGGCACCCCGCACCCCTATTAGTTTAGCATGCTCGTGGGTGGATTAATCGAGCTAGTACAAACTAGGCCCGACAATTGGATAACAGTTTAAGAAAAGCACAACAACAACTTTGCCTCAATCCAAATGCTCAACACATAATTCTTTTAGATTTTCGTTTTTTTAATGACAATGGTGTCCAGGCCAGCTTGTGCTCTCAACTAATTCTTACTAATTCCACAAGCACTTGCTATTGTTGACCAGGTAACTCTGCTCATCAAGGCTTAGACAGAGTACTCAACAAACTGTTCTTCTAGATTACTTTTTTCTAAAAATGCAAACTTTTTAATCAAGGATCATCCTGAATTATGCTACAAGCTGACGAACAAGAAAAATAACAAACCGTAAACCTCTATAAACAAGATCCTTCTGAAACAACTGAGCAAAAACCCACCAAACACTTGACATTAATCAAGCTAGTATTGGTTTTACCATGCTTGCGGGTTGCCTAATTGAGCTCGCACAAAATAATCCAGACAGGTAGAAAACACAATTTACGGAACAACAGCTCCTACAACCACTACTACTACTTTACATCAATCCCAATACTCTACAACTTGTTTTATTTTTAAAAATTCAAAAAAAAAATACTGCTTTATAATCCAGCATCATTTTAAATTACAATACAAGTTCAAGAAAGAACAAAAAAGGACAAACCTTGAAACCTCTATAAACAAGACCCTTTTGAAACAACTGAGCAAAGACCCACCAAACACTCTCCATGAACTTCAAATCCATAGTTTTATACCCGTTCTGAAAATCAATCCACCTCCCCATTCTCACCACTGTCTTCTCCCATTCCCCAACATACCTCGTAACAATAGCTCTGCACTCCTCATTATACTTATCAATTCCCATTTCAATCACTTGGTTTTTAGTCTTAATCCCAAGTTTCTCGTCAATTTCGTGTTCAACGGGTAACCCGTGACAATCCCAACCGAATCTTCGGGTCACATGATGACCCGTCATGGATTGGTACCGGGTCACAATGTCCTTAATTGTACCGGCTAAAATATGCCCGTAATGAGGCAAACCCGTCGCAAATGGCGGACCGTCGTAGAAGATGTATTCGGGTTGATTTTTGGTTTTTTCGAGCTGAGTTTCGAATGCTTTTACTGAATCCCACCATTGGAGAATTTTCTCTTCTTGATTTGGAAAGCTGAAATCTTTGCCTTCGCAGACGTCTTCCATTGCTAGGGTTTAGAGAAATTGGTGTGATTTGGGGATTTAGGGGAGGCTAGGGTTTTAACTGACGGAGAGAGTGAGGAAGAAGAAGAAAGGAATTAGAAGGTACAAGTCTTGATGCAGAGAGTGCAAGAGTGTGTATATACTCCTAATATTGTATTCACTATTGTTATTTGCGTTTGACCAAAGCAGCTAAACTTAATTATTTCCTAATAACTAAAGTTATGTTTGGGAATAAGATGCCTTTGAGCAAAAGTATATGTATCAAAAAATTCCCACTAGCAAAAGTATAAATTTATCTTTTAAATAAATAAAAAATAGGACACACAAAATTTATTATCATGGCTAAAACTTCAACGACAACCCAAATACATTTACAAAAATTCAAGATAGAAAAAATATGAATTGAACCCCTTAAAATTAAAAAAACAAACACAAAAGGCAAAAGAACCAAGAGCAACCTAGATAGGGGCCTTAATTTGCCTAAGTTTAATCATAGTTGTTTGTATTGTAAATTAACAAAGATTAACTAGAGAAACATTATGAGGTACACAAACACATCCTCAGATGAAGCTTCGGAATATAATTTATACCAAAAAAAAGTCAATATTATCCTGAACTATATTAAATTTGATAATTATACTTTTTGTTAAAAGTTGGTAGCTTAAATGCTAGATTGAGAGGAGTTCTAGACGGAAGATAAATAGGTAGGGGTATGAGATCTCCTTGACGGATGCCTCTAGTCGGTTGGAAAAATATTATGGCAGATCCATCAATAAGAATGAAAATGTTACTATTGCATACGCAACTCATGATTAGTTTTGTGATATTGGTAGGGAATTTGAAGTTGCATGGGCTCTATAGATACAGAACTATTCTAATCTATCAATTTTTTTAAGTCAATTTTAATGATAAATTTCCCTTTCTAACTGTTTAATCTATTGAAATAGTTGATAATTTCTAGGATAATTATGACATTGTCGCAAGTAGGCATGTCATTTAAGAAACTGGATTGGCATGGACTAATGAGTTTGTACAGAAAATGTTTGATGCGATTAACGATCATTTTTGTAATGACCTTATAAATGATATTACAAAGGCTAATTGGTCGAAAATTCTTCTGCTACCTTTTCTCGACTTTAGCTTCCTTAACACCCGACAAAGGAAATACTTAAGAGGGAAGCGGAAGATTAACAAGATTAATTCAGAAATAAGGACATGGCAGCCATTCTAAAATTTAAGTATGGTACCCAAAATCAGCTTTTTGATATTGCAGATGAGAATAATGTCCAATATGTCTTTTGCATTCAAATTCTAAAAGAAATGACGAATTTTGAAATTTGTAATCTTGAATACGTTCTATCATTTGTGTAGTTATAAACGCTTTTCATTAAGAAGATACATGAAGATGCATTCATCCTTTGCCCGGTCCATAAACTCTCTCATTTGGGGTAAACATATACTCCCTTCAGTATAATAAATGACTTTTTTACCTTTTTATTTTGGTCTAAAATAAGTGACCTTGTACATAATCAATAAGGAATTAACTTTATTTTTTCAAACTTTACCCTTGTTTACAAATTCCAATATGTCAATTTAACAATATCCTAACTTTAATTAAGAGTAATTTAGTCAAAATACCTTTTTTCTAGAAGTTAGTATTTTCTTAAGGGACATGCCGCAGGCTAAAAACAAATTACTTATTATGGAGCGGAGGGAGCAATTACTTTAATTGAAACACAATCTATAAATCTTCTTACAACATGCGGTTTTCCATATTGTCAGAGGCGGATTTACAGTATAAAATATGGTTCACGTGAACACGTTGTCCTCGGGTTAAACTATGGATATGATGTATATAATTTGGCAAAAATAGGTATATATATTTGATGGAATCCATGGTAAAAAAGATGAAGTAGTTCATTGGTTTTGGTCTCTTGTTTCCAATAGCCTTTAGGAGATCAAATTCCCAACCAACTTTTTTGTTTAATATTTTTAAAAAAAGTAATGGTGAACCCATCCTCCGGAAATCCTAGATCCGCTTCTGCATATTGTGTCTCACCCATCAAAACTAGATGGATATGGCTTGTACAAGTACGGGCCCAATCTTTACATTCTAAACTTGTTAGTTGTTTGGAGTTTGGGCAAGTTATTTGATGATGAAGTATAAGAGCATCACAATCGCAAAAATATTACAAATGAACATACACTCAATTTTGCATTGTCTTTATTATTGTCATTATAATATTATTTGGCTAAATTTTTCACAATCTGGGTTCCCGATCCTAATAATTTTGTTCAGTCCTATAATTCTACCCATTATATTGACCACTCTGCCACATTCTTAGTTGCATTACACACTACTTTTAGACAACATTTAAAATTTTGTTCCATTCTTTGAACATTTATTATACTGTTATTACTGCTTATCAATTTTGAATTACACTATGGAATTGCTTAAAACTCAAATAATTGACATATTATCTGTCTACAATAACCATTACCTGCAAAATATAATAGATAAGATGCAGTTAAACTAGACTGATGTAATTTTTTTACTGTATATATTAATCTAGTTTCACGCTGCATTTTCTCCGAGAAACACATCTATCTACGAGTTTATCCAACCCTTTGTACAGATTTATTGCCCATTTTAGACTCGTCTGTCTATTTCGAAGATCATTTGATATTATTACAAACAAAGAATAGCTTGCTCATTAAGGTTTTGAACGTCCAACAAAACACAAAATTAGCTGAGTTTCTTTTCCAACCCCTTACATTCTCTCAATCTCCACCAATATGTACGTAGCCCAAGGACGGAGCTAGCATAAGATTTGCGGGTTCGGCTAAATTTAGTAACTTTAGTCTAAACCCCTATATTCGTTGGCCCAGGAGCGGAGCTAGCCAACGAACCTTAATTTGCCCAATTGATTTGTCATGTCAAATATAGAGGGGAAACAAAAAGAGTTGCATAATACAACATAAGACCGCAACGTCATAGAGTTGCCAACGCGTGAAAAAACATGTGCATAAAATGGGCATTCATCTCTCTCATAACACAAGGTCAACTCAAATATGAAGAGGCTGGGATCAGTGACGAAACTAGAAATTGTTTTTAGGGTGTTCTAACTAAAAAGAAGTAAAAAAATATCTCTGACAAAGGGTGTTCAATATATATTATATATCTCTAAAACCTAATATTTTACCTATATATGCAGTGTAATTTTCCGACGAAGGGTGGTCAATTGACCACCATTACCATATTATAGCTTTGCCCATGGTTGAGATGCCAAAAACTTCTAGCAGATGCAAAACTAGAATTTGAAACTTATGGATTCAGTATTCTAAATCTTTTAAGTTAATAGGTTCTAAATTAATACTTTATACATGTTCAATGAATTTCTTAAGACAAATACATGATTTGAACGAAAGTTACTGGGTTCGGTCGAACCCATAACTCAAAGTTATACTCTCCCTCCGCCCCTGACTTCTAGCTAGTAATTTTTTTATTTGAGAGCTTTGCATTTACATTGCCTATAAAACTTCTCATCAAGAAAATATATGAATTTGTTCATTCTTTTTGGAACGAACTAATAAAGAAATATTGTCAAATAAAGTGAAATTGAGGAACAAGAAAGTAAGTTATTTTGGTTACCAAACCAAAACTACCAACAATACATTAAAGAGTTATTTAGACCACAAGCTCTCCCAATTGAGCTAAGCATATGATTAACTGAAATCTAATCTAAATCTTCTTACTTTTGCTAGAACGACGAAATTTATATTAATAATTAAGTAGTAGCATTACATATCGGTGGTGCCTCGATAGGGTCACGCAAAACACCTAAGCCAAGAGGCCTACTAGTCATATTACAAAAACTATTAATATTCCCAAGCTCGGCTAGTTTGTTTAGTACATTGGTAGATACTAATCTAGCAGTAGTTGCCCCAACTTTGCTTTCTATGGGTATTGCTTGGTCGCTTGGACCTTTCCTTTGCTAAAAAATGCGCGAGTCTATTCCCCTCACGGAAATTGTGTCGGATCATTGGGTTCTCAAACTCCTTTAATAGCAACCTGCACTCATTAACAAGGTTAGAGTATAGAGAACAGTTATTATAGGGAAGCAATTAGGGTATTTCAGTAGCATCATATTTTATTTCTAAGTTGTTGAAATTATGGTTTTTTGCTAGGAGAAGTCCGTTTTTAGCGCAATCTTTTACAACATGCCGTTTTCTCTACTATTAGCATGTTTGGCCAAGCTTCTAAAATCAGTTTATTTTGAGAAGTGTTTTTCTTAAAAGTACTTTTCAAAAAAATGCTTTTGGTGAAAAACAGTTTATGTTTGGGTAATTAATTTGAAAAGCTCTTTTGAACAGTAATTAGTGTTTGACCAAACTTTTGAAAACTGCTTTTAAGTGTATTTGTCTCAAAAGTGATTTTGGAGAGAAGCTACTTTTTCTGCTTCTCAAAAACTGCTTCTACTTCTCCTCAAAAGTATTTTTTTTCCTTCCAAAAGCTTGGCATATATGTCTCATAGAGTTTTTAACAAAAATTATCCTTGTAATTTCACCATAATTTTCATTACATCCTTATAAGTATCCACTTAACAGAAACATCCTTTGAGTTTTTCGAATTTAACCAAAAACATCCTTATGTTAAATTTTGCATCCACTTCTAACAGAATCTTTATTTCTCATTGTGTCTTCCCTTTCTCGTCCAGAAGCATTCAGTTCCAGCCCATAAGGAAATTCTTAAACGAGCTCTTTCTGTTGATTTTTTTTCCATATCTTTTACTCGCTGAAATAAAAGCATGTCTAAACATTTTAGAGCTCGTTGGACATAGGAATTTTTCCACTTTTTTTTTTTAAAAAACATTTTACTTTTTTTTCGAAATTAGTGTTTGGCCATAAAATTACCAATTTTCACTTGAACATGAATTTTAAAGTTTTTCGAAAATTTGAAAAACTCCAAAAGGCTATTTTTTTAAATTTTAACTCTGATCACTCACAAAAATTCAAAATAACCCAAAATTATATTCATGTCCAAACACAACTCTAATTTTTAAATACTATTTTCACTTGAAATTTTTTTTCTACTTTTTCTTGGAATTTTACAATTCTTATGTCCAACTAATTCATTTACAACACACACAATACACAATGATCTTTGAGTTCATGGGCGGATGCACGTGGAGCTATATGGGTGCTCTAGCACCCATTGCTTTTGGTGCGGAACTACTATTTTATGTAAACAATTAGTATTAAATTAACAAATAATTTTAGTAAGTACCCAAGAACAAAATAAGCAGGTGGATGCTTTGGTTAGAAAGTACACTTGAGAAATCTCTATATGGAACAGTCGCAGAATCGAATCCCTGAAAATATTTTTTCCATTTTGATATTAATAATCCCTTCAGTACTTTTATTCGTCTTTTAACTTTATTTGCTTCATTTTAAGTTTTGTTCTTTCTCTTTCTGTTTTCTTCCCCAATATCGTGGGCCATTCGGCTCCAAAAATGAATGGTCTTTTTCATATTTTTCTTTTCTTTTTAAGTGCCTTTGCTTTTTAAATTTCTTTCCCCCAAACACCATCAAACCTAAGCTGACGAAACTCCATCTTTTGCGATTGTAGAAGAAAATTGGTAATATGGTTTAAACCTTTTTGTAATTAATTAAAAATATTCAATTTATGTTCAATCTAAAGCTAATAGTTTTGCACTGAAGGTTAATTCTGGAAATAAACGTAAAATAAGCAAAAAATGATATTTGTTTGCTTATTGTGTATTTAAAAAATAAAAATCGCAAGGGATAACCGTGAATAAATTAAATCTTTTAACTATAATATTAATTTTAGTATATTTGTTAAATATTTTTACCATCGTGGGATAAGACGTAGTTGTGCACTTATATGTTGTGACCGTAACCAGAGGCGGATCCAGTATTTAAACTCTATGGGTTTAACTGTTAAGGTTTTTAACACTGAACCCATTATATATATTTTTAAAGTTATGGGTTCATATCCACTATTTTTGCAATTTTATTGAATGTTTACATATAAATTTTTACTCTACGTAAAAAGTTATGGGTTCAATTGAACCCGTCGGTAGAACACTGCATCCGTCTCTGACCGTAACAATTGTAGATAAATCAGCGGAACACCCACAACTACAAAATCCTGGATCCGCCACTGTCTGAGCTTCAACGGATACTGCAGAAAAACTACCATTGAGCTGAAAAAAGGAAATAGAATTTAAAAAAAAAAAAAAACACGTTGAAGTTTTCCAGTGTAAAAGCACAAAAAATTGAGCAAAAGAGAGAGATCAAAGGAATCAATGAATCTGTTGATATTATGATGTTCTTGGTAATAGTATCATCTCTGTTTTTCTAATGAAAGCTTCACCAAAAGAACAAATAGTACCACCATTACAAATCCTTTTCAAAAGAGTCACATTTATTAATTTATTTATGAAAAATGACACTCTACGACCGCTTTAAAAATAATAGGTAAATATATATATAAAACGCCAGTTGGTTTGGAGGATGGTCATCCATATGGATGATCTGGGATCGAATTCCTTGTCAATGCCTTCTGGATTGAGCCTGTCGCACATGGCTTGCCTAGTGCGGTTTATATCCCCTGTGTGGTTTGCAATTATTACATATAAGAAGGCAGTGCACACAAAGTGCTCACCATAGAGTATTTACCCGAAGGGCAGAAGCTGTGGCAGATGTTGCAGCAACTACGAATTTCCCCTCTTACCCAAAAAAAAATACTTTTATCAACGGTTCAATACATTTCGTAACCAAAAACTAGCAAGCAATAAATAACCTTATTATTAGAATAAGAGGTTGTCACATGATCTTCAAAAAAAGAAAAAAAGCAAGCAATAGATAAATTTATCAGAATATTAGATTCGTACACGATCTTCAAAAAAGAAAAGTGGCTGTCATACATAATCAAATATTAAATAAGCGATTTTGGAGAGATCAAACATGGTCCTTTGGATGTCAGAGGCGGATTCCTGTCGCAATCTCAAATTAATATACCATAATAATTGGGTTCACCCTTAGATATTTATAGATATTTAGTAAAAATTTTAATAAAAATATAGGGTCTACGCAAAAGTTATTGGATTCCCAAAAACCCATACACAACACGCTAGATACGCCCCTGTGGATGTCCTATATACAGAACAAAATATCCAAAACATATGCAGCGTAGGAGCACTTCACCATCCGCAAACATATAAAGCGGTCTAGCTGAATAAAAAATCTCGCTACCTCGTATTGTGAGCAACTCAGTCCAAGGTAACCTCATTAGCACGACAGGCGGGAGGCAGGGGCGGATTTAGGGGGCGGAAGGGAACCTCCTTCGCCGAAAAATTACATATAAAGTAAAATCTGCTTTTTACCTTTATATATTATATTTTGAATCTCCCTGATACAGTCCAAAACCATAGCTTAGTGGTCAATGAGGTTCAAAATCTTTATCCAATTTTCTTTTTTGAACCCCCTTAGCGAAAATCATGTCTCCGCCACTGGTAGGAGGTCACGGGTTCGAGCCGTTTAAACAGCCTCTTGCAGAAATACAGAATAAGGTTGCGCACAATAAACCCTTGTGATTCGACTATAGTGGGAGCTTAGTGCACCGGGCTCCCCCTTTAAACTCATTAGCACCATCTAAACGACATATGTCTCTCTCTTTCGCTCGATTACATCTTAAAATGATACGTAGTTTTCTTTTTTCCTCTTTTCCTTATGGTAGTTTTGGCTTCCTAAAATCATTAATTCCCACTAGATTACTAAATTTAACTTCTTTTTTCTAAGGAAAAAAAAAACTAAATCTTAGAGTACGCCCATGTTATACCTTGTTAAAAATTCAATATTGTATTCTCGAACAACTATGCTTTAATAGACTATTGCTTAATTTGCGAGAAAAGGAGTGCTTATAGTGTTTCCATTACCTGATAAAACGATTTTTTCCGGTAAAAAAATGATCTTTCCCTTGTGTTTGGCTATAGCAAAACCCTCAAGAATAATTTATATGTATATATGATAAAAAAAGTAAATAATTAATATGACCGGTAAAATTCCCCAAATAATAAGCAAGATGCAAGGGTATGCAAAGGCATTTCATTAGCTAGTCGAATAGCTCATCACGTGAATACTCCAACATGACATTTTTTTCAAACCAGAATATAAAAACCATCTGGCATTAATTATTTGAAACACAAACTGATATCGGACGAGGTGTGAATCATGTGGTCATTCCACTTAATATCTGTCATTTTAACCAAAAAGATATTCGTATATTAATAAGGTGATCTATATAATCAATGACATCTTCATGAATTTGGACCGACAAATCGAAATCTTTTTAAGGAAAAAAATAATAATATTATAAATGAGAAAAAAGGATCCTTTTTGTTTACTCTTTCATGCCCTCCTTTTTTTTTTTGCTTGCCCTTCACATGTGATTAATCACATTTGTTGTCTAATCCCAAAAATTCCAAGTTATCTCTCGATACTCCCTCCGGTCCAAAATAAGTGATTTTTGGCCTTTTTTTTGTGGTCCAAAATAAGTGATTTTTTCAGATTTCAAGAATGAATTAATTATTTTTTTCCTATATTGTCCGTGGAGTAAATAGTGTTGGAATATGTGTTAGGAGTATTTATGTGAGATAATAAAGGTTAATATGGTCAATTCCATTGTTAATTAATACTAAAATGTGAATTTCTTAATATGTGTGAAAACATCCAAAAAATCACTTATTTTGGACCGGAGGGAGTAATTGTAAAAAGGCTCTAACTTGCCAATTTTAAATTAATTAAATTAGATTATTAATCAAGCAAGGAATGAGTCCACTGGAACTACAACCGAAGAATAAACAGTGCATTACTCGTAGCAATTACTAAGTACTGTCGTCTACAAAAGCAATAATAGGTAATAAGAGAGGGGGCTTCAATCACTTCCTTTCTAACAAATTTGAAGTTTGTGGGTTCGAGATTCCAAATTTTTTAAGTTACTGCGTTCTAAATTAATAATTTATACATATTTAATAAATATTTTAAGACATATACATGATTTGCACCAAAGCCACTGAGTTCGGTCGAACCCATATCTCCTACTCTCCCTCCGCCCCTGAAAACATGACAAAAGTAACTTGACAGCTTTTATTAATACATTCCAGAACCAAAAACTAGCAAGCAATAAATAAACTTATCTGAAGAAGGGTTGTTACATGATCTTCAAAAAAAAAACAAGCAATAGATGAATTTATTAGAATAAGAGGTTGTTACAAGATCTTCAAAAAAGAAAATAGCGTCTGTCATACATAATCAAATATCAAATAAGTGATTTTGGAGAGATCAAACTCTCTGTATAAACTAGTCCTTTCATAAAGGTAGGACATTGAGGCGGGACCTCAAATGGTCCTTTGGATGTCCTATATACAGAACCAAAATATTGAAAATGTCTGCAGCGTAGCAACACTTCACCATCCGCAAACATATAAAGCGGTCTGGCTGAAAAAAAAAGGTCATAGCCTTGTATTGTATGCAATTCAGTCCAAGATTCCTTGACACCATAGTCTTTCATTACCCACAACTTAAAAGGGACGTACCTACTAAATCTGTAATATGTATAATAAAAACAAAGCATTCCTCCCAATACTAAAACGCCCTGGTCGATGAACTTGGCGTTGTATGTATTGCACATTTGCTCTATCAAGGGTATCTCTCCGTACACCTCACTTGAAATATTAAGTGAAATGATAGTAGAACATCGTGATAAACCAACCCAATGAAATGCTCCATGTACAAATGCCAAAGAATCCATACCACAATCCATAGCACCACCCGATACACGGTGGATACCAATAGGATATTTACAAATTTTTCTCCAAGAACCACTTTTTAGCGCAAGAATTTCAACAGATACATCCTGATCGATGCACGCGTCTAGGTTAATCGCAACGATCTTATAGTCGTCACTAGTAGAATCATATCCAATCCCGCATACACAATCATTAAATGGAGATTCTGGATGGGGAAGTTCTATTGATTCTCTTGTGGAGGGGTTCCACAGCAAAAGGTGTCTACCGAGTCCATCAATAGTTGCCAGAAGAACCAACCCATCACAACAACAGTAGATTGTGGAACCCACTGGTTTGTGGTTTGAAGGCCAATAAAGTGTTTGTTCATCCACAACAACTTGAAGTGACGATAAAGAAGAAGAATAGAAGCTACAAATATGATCCTTAAACCTGCACTTTGGGCTAATAAGAAGTTTTTGAGAACTTCGGTCATTCTTGGCATGATTGAGATGCTTCTTCTTAAAGTATGGATCAGAGATTGATGCCTTCCACAATTTCGAAACGCATGTGAATTGAAAGAGATACCGCACGGGTAACCTGGCGAGGATCTCCATAACTATGTCCTCCTCGAATTGGATTCCCATGGCCTAGATAGGACAAGGAAAGTGCTTTAGTAGTTCACTAGTCGAAGATGTTAAATCTTTCGGGCTCACAATAATATATGAAAACCAATTAAAAAAGAAAGCTCTAGCAACTAGAGTTCAAAACAGATTTTCATAGACTGCCCAATGATTGCAACAATTGTGGTAAGTATACTTGTGGAATTTTAAAGAAGAGAGTTTTGATGAATGTTAGATTCCAGTAAGCAATACTAGAGCATAACTCTCTTCTTTTCAATCACAAAATTAAAAAAAAACAATAAAACGTTGTTAGCTACTCTTTACGTGAAAAATATTATCTTTAACCTGCCAGGGAAAATGTCAAAGAATTTAAGTAAAACCACCCTAAAATCAGAACTAACCTGATCAACAATATCCATCTGCTCTATAGCATTATTTGACACGCTCTTCCCTGCAATTAATTAAAACAAGTTGTGGCTGCTTAGCAACATATATAAATAAAGCAGAATAGGAGGAATCTCCTTTGCAGAAATAGTTTTAAAACACACACACACACACACAGAGCAGAAGCAGAAAGAGATACCTTTGGAGATGTGATTAAACTTTTGGATGGAATCTCCTCTACTGCTAGTAATAATCTGATTGAAAAGATTAGCCTTTTTTGTATTAGCAACGGATTTCTTCATCGCCTTTTGTATCTTTGGAGCAGAAGTATTTGATAATTTACCTCATTCTTCTTCTTCATCGCGATTAATTGAATACTAGGGCTTCTAATTAGATTGAAAAAATTCAGTCTTTTTTCGCTCGACTCGTCCTTCCTGGAGCTTCGATTCGGAAATGCTTGCTAGGGTTTCTCGTTGGATATGTGGTTGCCCTCATTCATGACTCATAAGCCGGTTCGGGTCGGATCCTCATGGGCCTGGCCCAATAATTGCAGCCCACCCTAAAATCAGAACTCACCTGATCAACAATATCCATCTGCTCTATAGCATTATTTGACACGCTCTTCCCTGCAATTTGTGGCTGCTTAGCAATATTTCTATTATATAAAAAAAGGAAAGATGGTCAATCAAGGGCATATATGTCATTTCAAAAAAAACTCCCACATTGTTTGCAATTCTTAAATGCAAATATCATTGATACACATGGGACCCACATTCCCATAACTATAACACTCCGTTAAATGTTACTCCATGTTGATTGCTTTTTCACAAGAGGGGTTGCTCTTCTGGTAAGCAACCCCTACTTCCAACCGAGAGGTTGTGAGTTCGAGTCTCCTCAAGAGTAATGTGGGAAGTTTTTGGAGGGAAGGATGTCGGGGGTCTATTTGGAAACAATCTCTCTACCCTAGGGTAGGGGTAAGGTCTGCGTACACACTACCCTCCCCAGACCCCACTAAGTGGGATTATACTGGGTTGTTGTTGTTG